GTTTTGAATTCATGCTGTATATTTTTACAAGGTAAAGTTACTGAACCTGCCACCTGTGCTGTTTTAATAGGCTAAGAGTGGTGATATTTACTTCCCTGTGTGTGTGTGAGTGAGTGTGAGAGAGAGAGATAGAGAGAGAGAGATAGAGAGAGAGAGAGAGAGAGAGAGAGAGAGAGAGAGAGAGAGAGAGAGAGAGAGAGAGAATATAAACTTAAATACAATAATAAATACAATAGGAACTCTTTATACAGACAAAATGCTGAGTTCTGGATAAGTAATGGAGATGAGCAAAGCCTTCAAATAGTCACTTATTCATCAACTTTTCTTAATGGTCTTGGACAATCCATGTGTTTTAAGCCTCTCAGAATCTTGTGAGAATTGCTTTGGGAGGAAACAAGGGCTACATCCTGATAAATAATTTTTATGTAATTTATCTGAGCTGAACCTTGTGTCTAGTTTTTATAAATATTTGATCAGTGCCTTTTAAAAAATTCCAAGGAGACTGCTACTGTATCAAAACCCTTCTTCATTCCATTCTTCTGATAATGAAACAGAGGTTCAGCCAAACTTACCTGGAATGAAATGAAAAAGAAAGATGGAGACGGATGCCATTTATGTATTGGTTAGCACCAGGTCCCAAGCAACCTTCCAGAATGACTTAATACAGATAATAAACAACATAGGGACAAACTCTGAAAATAAATCACAGGTGTTTTTTCCTGATCTTGCAAAAAGCCGTGGCTGCTTTAAAGAGATACAGAGAAATATGATATATTCATGTCCCACAAACTCGGATACTAATTTTTGTCTTGGAATCCCGTATGCTGCAAAGTGGTATATCTCACATTACTGCTTTTATGAAGTTATATTTGAATAGGAAGTTGCAGAAAGACTGGGTTTAAATGACATTTGGACATAGTTCAAGCTTTAAGTCCTTAGCTCTTAAAAGTTTAGGTGAATCCCAGTGTCATCTGCTATGGTAGTACTGAGTAAGAATTGTCATTAGTTTTATTGGAAGAAAAATCCATCTGGTTCAGTTCTAAGCTGGGAAAAAGACACTAGAAACATGGAGGCTGATTGGAAAGATGGTTTATAGATGAAGCAGAACCACATGTGATTCTGGGCAGCTGACAAAATGGAGTTGAGAGTGGGTGGGGTTTTATATCTTCTTTGGGCTTTCGATTTGAGCTTCCTGTTCGTGTGCAAGAACATGTCCTTTAAATTTTTATTGGCTGTTGTCAGATTCCTATGAGGTCATGTAGGGGTTATGTAGGGGTCATAGCTGATTCTATAGGCAAAAGAGGAAATGCAAATCCTAGGTGCTTGTCTGAGCTAATCTGGTCAACCTCTGGCTTATTGTTTATCTGAGCTCTCCGGTGATGTTTGGACTGCTCTGTGCCTAATGACTTTTGTCCTGTGTTGGATCTTGGGTGAGGGGCTGCTTCTAATTCTATCACACTGCCTTTGTTGGCTGTCAAACTTTACTACAAGCAGTTTTGAAATATCCTCTCTCGAATGGATTTATGCCTGCAGTATTTGCTTTGCTTGTGAATAGAGGCATCTAAATAGTTGGGTTCTTCTTTCAATAAGCTCTTAAGTGCTGGCATCTGCTGTGGGCTATTAAGAAAGACTTGGGGGGCTGCTTCTTGCCTCTAATAAACATGTTTCTCCATTTCTCATTTAGGGAAATATAATATTCTGCCTTTTCAATATTTCCCAAAATATTTCATTCTTCTGGGGGGTAAGTGCTAATTCCCACAACACTGTCAAACTATTCATTAAGGCTGCATTACTATTATTCTTCTCATCATTCCTATTACCTATCTTCTTTTCTACTTATGACTATAACTTTGTTGCTTGTATCTTTCCTATTTATACTGTTTTATTTAGTTTCCTAGTATGATTTATGTTGATTGCTTATTTAGTATCCTATGACTATCACTAAGTGTTGTATCTTACGATTTATGATAAATGCATTTTTATGATGACTATGATGATGATTTATCACTTATAGCTTTTATGTACACTGAGAACTTATGCACCAAAGACAAATTCCTTGTGTGTCCAATCACACTTAGCCAATAAAGAATTCTATTCTATTCTATTCTATTCTATTCTATTCTATTCTATTCTGACAAAACACAGAGAAAGGCCATTTATAGCAGGAAGTTAAGGACACGACAAGCCCTGAAGGAGGGTGCTAAGACTGAAGGTAGAGTCCCCAAAATTAGACCAGATACAGGACCTCATCCATCCTCTGTGAATATGGTTCACAAATAGTCTAAACAGGGTGAGAGAGTAAGTGGCGAGGGTGGGGGGAAGAAAGGAAAGCAATTATTGGGAATAAGAGCCAAAAAAGAATACACAGAATAACACAAAATACACAGAATAAGATAGTTGGTGTTTCCGTGTTGGGAACTTGATTTTGTAGGAAAGGTAAAAACAAAAGTTTTAAGACAGATAATTTATTTTTCAATGTGGTAGATGTAATAATATTACCAAATGCCTTGATTAGAATTAGCAACTATGATTCTGTGCGATTCCCAATATGGGAAAAAAAGAGAAAGAAATGACCCAGTGGGATAAAAATATTTAAATATTCTGTGTTGAATTGTGGCAGTTAAAATGATGGCTTTTTCAAGATTTAAATGTTTCATTTCCAGCTCTACCAATAGAAGTACCAAATAAAATTTGGCAAAGAAAATATGATTATTATTTTTTTGAAATTTCAGAAGTAAAGAGTGAAGAATTATAGAAAGAATATAACCAGATCCCAGAAACAAGGTGGATGAGGGGTTCCAGTTTTATAAAAATACTCTCAACATCAGATTTGAGTCACATCATTTCCCTTTACATTGGAAAATTATGCAAGGAAAAGCTTGGAGTAATGAGCATTTATTTGTCTCTGACTGACTGTCTGTTTATGAGCTATTTCTCCCCTTTGTTTTGTCTCCAGTGACTTTAAAGCAATGGTCAGCTCACAAACAGTATTAAAATCAGTTACAGCTGTAAAAACAAAACAAAAGATAAAAATCGGCAAAGAACCTCCCCGTTTCCCCAATGCAAGCCATCCCCTCACATCCATGCTAGACTTGAGAACTTCCCTGAGATCCAGCCTCACAATACATCAACATTTCCATGCAAAAGCAAAATTGACTTCAAAGCTTGATCTTGCCAGATCAAGGTTATGTCACAGACAAGAATAAGATAGCTGAACTATAAGAGACAAACAAGTAGTCCTCAACTTACAATTCATTTACTGACTGTTCAAAGTTACAAAGGGCACTGAAAAAAGTGACTTAAGACAGTTGTTCAAGCTTATGACCACTGCAGCATCTCCATGGTCATGTGATCAAAAGTCATGTCCTCAAGATGCTTGGCAATGGACTCATATTTATGACAACTGCAATGTTCCAGGCAGGGGTGGGTTCTACTTACCTTTACTACCGGTTCGCACTTTGCTCGCATGTGCGCCTTGCTTCTGCATAGATTGCTGATGATGACATCCAAGGCAGTGGGTGGAGCCTCCCGCCGGTTTTACTACTGGTTCTTGAGAACCGGTCCAAACCGGGGGCAACCCACCACTGGTTCCAGGTCATGTGATCACCTTTTGCAATCTTCTGACAAGCAAAGTCAATAGGAAAGCCAGATTCACTTTACAACCATGTTATTAATTTACAAATGCAATGATTCATTTAACAACTGTGGCGAGAAAGGTCGTAAAATGGGGCAAAATGGAAACTTCAGGTGAAGTTTGAAAAAATTGTGACATATAAAGACATTTTTGACACTGAAGGGAAATTAAAATCTAAGCAAGAAGTGGCTAGAAAAGATTATAGGAAAACATGTAGATTTTAAACCTGAACTTTTTTCTATTAGGTACAACACCAGAAAAATTTGATAAATAAAAAATATATTTAATATTGCATGTATTAACAGCAGCAAGGATTATATTTGCACAATATTGGAAAAATGAAGAAATACCACGAGACAAAGAGAAAATTAGGAAGATACTGGATTGTGCAGAAATGGACAGACTTACATTGAAGATTAAACAGAAAGAAGATACAGAATATTATCAAACATGGAACTCATTTTTCTCAGTGGTTGGGAAAAAAAGGGGGTGGAGAATAAGAATGTAATTTGTATGGCTAAGGAAATAAAATAATCCAGACAACACGATGTTTATTAACCACTAACAAAATGTAAACAATAGAAAATCAACTTTTTAAAACCTAAAAAAAAAAATAGTTTGGCATGCAGAAAAAGGTATCTGCACCTAAGCAGATAGAACAGAGGGAGCTGACTCTAGACCCAGCAGAGTTGATACACGCACGCACACACATACACAAAAACACACAGATCTTGCAAGACAACTGATTTTGAGTGGAAGTTGACCAGAAGCTGCATTGGTGAGCCTTGCTTAGTCAGAGAGCTTAATGGAGCTCCTGTAGAAAAAGGCAGGCTACATACAAAGAGCTTTGGCCACTGTACCAAAAGGTGAGAAAGAGGCAGCTTGAGAGATTTGTGAGTAGGTGCCTAGAGATCTTTGGCTGCCAACAGTGTATGCAGAAAAGGTGGAGCAGATCCTTGGTAGATACCAAAGGAGGCCTTCAGATCTCTGGGAATTCTATTGGCTGTAGGATGTCATCCATCCAGGGTTAAAGGTCACCAACTGCCAGTTGTCACTGAGCAGAGCCAAGATGTTTTCGAAGACGTAAGTAGGTCTTCAGAAGGGCTCCTCTAAAGAGCCTTTTCAATGCCTTTTCTTGTTTGGGAGGTGGAAGGTTTGTCCATGAGCCTTTGCCCTGGGATGGGGAAATGGAGAGGGGGAAGGTAGAGGAGGGAAGGGAGGCCCTCAGGACTGGGCTCCTTCCCAGAGATTTACACAGAAGGAGCTTCTCTCTTTGTCCAGATGCTCCCTCTGTCCCAGACACAGAGCAGGTAGAGCAAGTGGAGTCTGGAAAAGGGGTTTTACTCCCTTCCATTCCTTTTCTTAGGTTCCTGAGATTTCGAAAATGTTGCAGAGAAATCTTCCAATGCTGTTGGGGGAGAATGAGAAGGAATGCCAGGCCAGCCAGTCCTTCAACCTCCACCTTGGAAGACGCAACAAATCTGTCTGGCCGAAGAAAAATCAAAATCACAATAGACATTGAGCTCCATAAAGTGGAGCAGCACGGTGAGTACACACTTTTTGTTGAAGGGAATAGAGAGGGAAAGGGAAGGAGCTTCTTTAGGAGTGGACTCCTCTATGTGGGCATCTAGAGAAGCCAATTCTGCCTCTTCCTATATTCTAGGTTGCATTTGAGGGCTGCGCAGAACCAAATTGCTCCTGGCCCTTAAGCACCCCTCCTCGTGAAGCTTCTGAATCCCCATTAACTTTCCACAAGTTGTTCTGCTTCCATGAGACTCTTCTGGGAAACTTCACATTTGCTCAGTGGAGCCTATCTATAGACTGGGAACTGGGGAGGGAGGATATAGAGAATGCAATAGGTCTTTCCCCTAATAGAGACATAGCCAGCAACCACAAAAGCCTTTGAATCGGGGCTCCGAGAGAAGGATGCTGCAAAGGGCTGATTTTAGGGTCTTTCCTTCATCTGGAGGAGATCTAAAATTTTGCTATGATACCACCCTCTGTGTCTCCTTTCCCAGATTTCCCTCCAAAGGACAGCCAAGGGAAAGAGAAGGTCCTCTTCGAGAGGCGGGACCTTTTCCAAGCAGCACAATCAGAGCTGGCCTGTATAAGAAGGGACCAGGAGATGAGCCAATATCTGCGTCAAGTGGTCTCTGAGAGGAGGAGAGAGACACAGCAATCAGTAGGTACCCTTTGGAAGTAGAGGTTTCTTACGCTGGGCTTTGCCTCCGGATTTCAAACCCAGTCTATTTTTGCCCAATCTCAGTGTGGGCAAAAGATTCCTTAGGATGGACAGAGTCTCAGAAGGATTCAAGCTTTCCTTGTAAAAGAAAGAACATGGGGATTCTGGGAGAGTCAGTTGCCTGACTGACAGCCGAATACTATTCGGTTGCACAGGAGCATCTCCAAATCCAGGTCCTCAGTGATATCACTGCACTGTTTCACCTTAAGAGAAGTGTGCAAAATGAGGGTCCCAGTGCCCAGAAATAAAAATGTGATGGGAGAGCGGGGGGGGGGAAGAGTAAGGATGATGGGGAGACATCAGAGGGAAAGGGAGAGAAGGAAAGCTACTACGAATTCTCAAAAGGTTTACCAAAAGCTCAAAAGGGGGAAATTTTCCTTTGGACTGAAAGGTGAGCTGTTGCAGCAACATAGCAGGTTAAAACAGGCTGGGACAAAGAAGATGTTCTGGAGCAACTTAGTTGAGCTTGACTTTTCTGATTGTCTCCTCTTTTGTTTCCTGGCAGGCTCTGTTGCAGGAGCACAGCTTTGTCAATGGATTAGCTGCATTGCTGGAAATGTATGATCTCAGGTCAGTCTATTGTTTCTTTTATAGTGGGTGAGAAAAGTCTGTTTGGGGTACTCAGTCATTAAGAAGGGGGAGGGCATTCAGTTGAGTCAGCTTATCCTATTCTTATGGGGAAAAATGGAACGGAGGCTTGCTCATTAATGTGGGCACTAATGTCTCTTCCTTCTTTTAATCCCACAGCAAGATAACACCAGAAAGGGACGAACCAATAGAAGCCATGCTGATGGACCTTTCCAGCTTTTATTGGACGGCGACCCTGGATGCAGAGGAGGAAGATCTTTCTGAGGTACCACTTTAACCAACATTTCTGGGATTTCCTTTCTAGTGTTGCATGGATGGGAAAATGTTCTCCAAAAGAAAGAGCACCATCTCTTATGTTTCCTTTCAGGTGGAGAAGAAGTTGTTGGACGAGGCCTTTGGCCTAACAATGAGGAACCTACTCCGACAGTCTCCCACCACAGAACAGTTTGTTTTCATTCTGAAGGTAAGGGTCCAGAAGTCCCATGGCAGTTCAAAGGCAGCGAGATTCTTGATTCTCAGAAATGAGAAAACATGTCTTTTCTTTGTCAATTCCACAGCAACTGGACCCACGTGGGAAACTCTTTTTGCCGGCGATAAACCAGCTCCTCTCCTGTGGAAACCATCATCCCAGGATCGATGTACGTAGCAAAATTAAATTAACATAAATTGTAGCCTTTGAGTCCCCCGCAGCTCTTGGGACCCCACCCTCAAATAACCTCCCTCTTGGTGCCAGAGAAAGTGCAGGGGGGTCTTTTCCCCTTATTCCACCTGAGGAAATTCTGGGAAGGATATCTTGCTAGTAATATGTGAGGGAAGGAGAACTACTCTCCAAGAACCTTGGCAACACGGTGAGGGATTTTTTTATTTTACAGCTCCAAGAAGTCCAGCAGGCTTTCCCTGATGTTCCCAGGGAAATCTGGCAGGCTGGAACCACCTACGAAAACATCAATGAAGGTAACTTTATTGAGAACACTAAGGGGAGGGGGAAGGGTTACTTATGACCTGTCCTCTTAGTTACGACAGTCACATCAACCATACACTAATGTCATCACATTTTGGGTAGTTGGCAAGAAGTTCAAATTTACAATCGTTTGCCGCATTAATGGTTACATGATTGCAGTTTGAGATATTTTCATAGTTTAAGGTAAAAAAAAAAAAAAGGGGGAAACCAGCCACTGGATAATTTGCTTTTGGATTTACCAACATGTGATTCACTTAACAATTGTTGTAAAAACAGTTGCAAAATCGAATTTCGGTCATATGGCAACTTGATTTAAAACTGTAATGACTGGTCATGTAGAGTTTGAGCTCCCTTGTTGTCATAAGTTGAGGACAACTCCCATAAATCGAAAACCTGTATATGTTTTCCAGCTGTGTAGCAAACAGATCAAATTTCAATATCTGTTTCTTTCAATTTTCCTCACCTTTTATTTCCATGCAGGAGACCTAGAAATAGAGGAGTTGTGACCTCCACCCTTCGCCGTTGAGCCACCTATGAAGAAAAGCTACCATCTCAGGAAATGGCCCTTTGGTTCTTCCTTCTATCAATTGCATAAATTTTGTATAATAGTTGAATTTGATCTGTTAAAACTTCTGACTGTATAATAATTGTTGGTATCTGTGTTTGTAGATCACTGGAAGATCAGAACTCCCTCCTGCTGAAGTTTCCCTTGGGGTTTGGAAGATGGCACTGGGGCTGAAGATGCTGTGGAGCAAACACCGACCATCATCGTTTTTAATATGCTGCAGCAGGTTGGTAGTATGCAGGGTTGGACTAAGAGATGGTTCCATTTCTGCAAATGTGGGGTTTTGTTCTCTCAAGCCTATGGTTGATTCTGCTTTCTGCCCTGTGATTTTGTCTTCTTCTTAGCAGCTTTAGCAGCTTGGACGGAAACCAGGCGGTTCCTGTAACGGACCTGCTTGCTTGGACCATCACCCGGCTGGATCAACATCTCCCCAGGATAGAACAACAAAACACAGAAGATGGATGGACTTGAGTTTTTGAGTTTTTTTTTCTTGTATTATCTGGACACTTATGGACTCATGTCTCCAGCTCTATGCCACCATTGAAGGCAAACACAAGGCAAAGAAGACAGATTTTAGTCAAGGTGTTACCTTCAAACTCTCAAGATTCGTTAATTAAGCCTTACAATAAGGTCTGAATAGCCCATTGTATTTTCCTTCGTCTCGTTTCCCTTGGAGGACTGACACAATGTCTGCAGGTTGTTGGAACCGAGTGTGTGTGTGTGTGTGTGTGTGTGTGGCCTCCCAGGTAAACAGACAGGAAAGTGACTAAAGGTGCTAATTCTACCTTATTTTAAGGCTACATTAACAGAACCTTGAAAGTCTGAAAGTAGCCCTTTTGACTGAATTTCTATCTTCTTTATCTTATGTTTCCTTAAATGGTGGTGGCTAATATGTCCACCCATAGATAGAATGTATGTATATGTTTATTTATTGTATTTTGCTTGTCGTATTCTGTTTTTAATTGTATAATTGATTTTATGATTGTTTTGCTACCCATTGTCCCTTGTTTGACATGGCCCCTCTACAAATTGGATAAATAAATAAGTATACTTTGAATATTTTTCCTTCATTGTTTTCCTTGCTTTTTTTTTTTTCATTATTTTTTTAAATCTGTATTATTTGGTATTTGGTTATTATTTCCAAATATAAAGTACAATATAAACTGTGTTTTTGTAGAAAATTCTTTATTTCATCCATCTAGGGGACCTTCTGTCCATCAAAACTTTGAGTATAACTGAACTGAAGTTCAGTTTTTTGACTGAGAAGAAACAGTCAGGAAAAATAAGCCCAAGGATTCATTGAGAAGATGGTGATAAATGATACTTTTTTTTTTTAGTAAGATCGTAATAAACCTAAAGAATGCTTAGGGTTTAGTATTATTAACCATACTATATACACATCTTACAATACTAGACACACAGTATCATAACAACAATAGAGACCTTCAAGTTTCTAGGTTCCATCATATCGCAAGACTTAAATAAACACCTAACATCAAAAAGGTCATCGAAAAAGCACAACAAAGAATGTTCTTTTTGCGCCAACTCTGAAAGCTTAGACTGCCCAAGGAGCTGCTGATCCCGTTCTACAGAGGAAGTGAGTCTGTCATCTGCACCTCTATAACTGTCTGGTTTGACTCAGACCAAACAAGACAGACACAGACTACAACGGAGAATTAGAACTGCTGAAAAAACAATTGCTATCAGGCTGCCTTCCATTGAGGAGCTGTATACTGCATGAGTCAAAAAGAGGACTTTCTGAAAGTATCTACAGACCCCTCACATCCTGGACATAAATTGTTTCAATTTCTACCCTCAAAATGACGTTATAGGGCATTGCACACCAGAGAAACAAGACACAAGGACATTTCCACCCACCCACCCACCCCCACATGCCATCACTCTGCTAAATACTTGTTGGAAGAAATATCCATCTGGTTCAGTTCTAAGCTGGGAGAAACACACTGGAAACATGGAGGCTGATTGGAAAGATCATGGAGTTGAGAGTGGGTGGTTTTTATATCTTCTTTGGGCTTTTGAGCTTCCTATTCCTGTGCAAGAACATGTCCTTTAATTTTCTATTGGCTGTTGTCAGATTCCTATGGGGTCATATAGGGGTCATGTAGGGGTCATAGCTGGCTCTATAGGCAAAAGAGGAAATGCAAATCATAGATGCTTGTCTGAGCTAATCTGGTCAGCCTCTGGTTAATTGTTTATCTGAGCTCCCAGGTGAAGTTTGGACTGCCATGAGATGGTGCAATGAAGGGGCTTGTCTTCTGAAAGGATGTTGGGCAGTTCCTATTGTGGCTTAATGACTTTTGTCTTGTGTTGGATCTCGGGTGAAGGGCTGCTTCTAATCCTATCACTCTGCTTTTGTTAGCTGACAAACTTTGCTGCAAGCAGTTTCGAAATATCCTGTCTTGAATGGATATCTGCCTGCAATATTTCCTTTGCTTATGAATAGAGCCATCTAGATAGCTGGCTTCTTTCAATAAGGTATTTATCACTTAAGTGTTTGCATCTGCTGTGATCTATTAAAAAAGACTTGGGGGCTGCTTCCTGCCTCTAAAAAACATGCTTCTCCATTTCTCATTTAGGGAAATATAATATTCTGCCTTTTAAAAAAATATTCCTCAAAATATTTCATTCTTCTAAGGAGGGCGGGGAGGGGGACTTCTCACAGTTTTTGTCCTGGAAAACTCCTTCTCTTGAACACCTATTTTATTGACATATAGAACAAGGGTGGATAATTCATAGCGAGTGACAGCAGAGCCATGTCCTTAAAGCTTTTCTCTAGGATGAGAAGGTTAAGGTCAATCTAAGTTCCAGGGGGCAAGATGTTCCACAGAGTGGAGGCCATGACACAAAGTTTCTTTTAACTGAACCTTTTCATAGAGAGAACCTATAACAGTGATAGCTAACCTTTTTGCCATCGCATGCCAGGAGAGGCGGGGGCGGGGGCGGGTCATGTGCGCATGTGCGCACGTGCCCACGCGCATGTGTGCGCAACCCCCCCTCGCTCCTGGCACATGATGGCCTGGTAGGCCCGTTTTTCTTTCTTACCTGGTTCCAGATCCTCTCTATTTATCTGGGAAGAGCGAAAACAGCTTTTCTCACTCTCTCAGAGGCCCTCCAAAGACCTGAAACGGCCCATTTCCCAACATTTTTTGCTGTCCCCAGCCTCCAGAGCCTCTTTAGGAGTCTCTAGGAGCCTCTCTAGGAATCCCTGGAGGCTGGAGAACAGCAAAAAACTCACTTCCTGTCCCACCGGGAGTAGGGAAATGGGCCCTTTCAGCCTCCGTAGGGCCTCCAAGGGAGTGGGAAAGGCTGTTTTTGTCCTTCCCAGATAAATAGAGAGGCTCTGGAGCCAGGTAAGAAAGAAAAATGGGCCTTCCCCACCCATCCACCCTCCGGCCCTCCAGAGACAGGAAACAGCCTGTTTCCCTACTTCTGGTGGGCCCAGAAGGCCTGAAAATCAGCTGGCCAGCACGCACATGTGCCCCAGAGCTGAGCTGGCATGCCCACTAATATGGCTTCGTGTGCCACCTGTGGCACGCATGCCATAGGTTCGCCATCACGGACCTATAACATGTGTCTCTTGCTAATCCTAATGGGACAGGTAGATATAACCAAGGAGAGGTGATCCCTCAAGTATCCTGGTCCCATGCCATTATAAGTCTTGACTGCAGCTTGAATTGAACCCAGAAGCAGCCAGTGAAGCTTGCAGCGCATATGTCAACTCTGAAGTGAACCTGGCTGAAGCCATTTTTTGCTGCCTCTTAGTTGCCACGAACTCTGAAAGGGGGAAGGGAGGCGGAAGTAGATAGACTGGTTAACAGTCAAAACAAAAAGTTTTCTTGTGGGAACCAAGGTCATCCTAACAGGTGGCAGTTGAAGGAAGCGAGGAGTGACCAAGCAGCCTGCCAGCTATTTACATTGGATAATGTGACCAGTGACCTCTGGGGAGGGAACCATTTGTTCTTTTTATTAGGCTAAAACTGCAGTAACTTTTAGAGTTAGTTTTCATTGACTGTGCCAATGTAATGTATCCAATAAACACATTCTTTGAGGAATCAACCTGCCTCGGAGTTCTGCTTTTGGTGGATGTGTTACTCGGAACGCTGATAGCATAGATGTAATGTGTGCTTATATTGAACTACACACAATTGCTCTCATTGCCACATTAATATGTCTAAAGAATGAGCTTTAACAAAAAGTCAAACCCTGACTCCACCAGATATCTGCCCCATTCACTCATGTGACCCTGTCACTGAATTCACAGCCTGTCACAGAAGCATCGAAGAGCTGTGAGAACAATTGACCAACAATAGATTTCTCTCTATGCTGAGAATAGCTGCCATTTTGTAAACTGGCCATGAGGAGAAATTTAAGATAGAATTGAGTTCAGAAGCTGTCAATTATATTGACAGAAACTTGAAAACCTGCAGCATCTTTCCTTTCCTCTTATGTCAAAGAGAGTCAAGGCAGGACAATCTTGAATTTCTTTCTTATGCTTTCCTGTTGTCACAGGTTAAGTTCATGTTTTCAGGAATATGGTCAAAAGAATTTGAGATATTTTTGGGGGGGGGGGGAATTCTGTGAAAACATTAATACTTTCCCCAGTTTTGAACTCTGATTTAGTTCCTGCTTCAGGAAGAAGAAGGAAACCAATGAAAGCACAGTTAGAACAACTTTTTTACAGCATAGTAATCTTGCTGTTATTAAGGGAACACATTAGAGCTTGATGTACTTAGATTCTCCTTAGCTTCTTTCAAGATTAGCTCAGGTTGTACTAAGAAATTAATCAGCCTTAGCCCCTGAGAGCATCATAAAAGCCGGATGAAGCAGCATTGCATATGCCAGGCAGTTTTGTTAAACTGGCAATTTTAATATATGGCTAGATTAACCTTTATACTGAAAGCTGACATGGGTAGCTAGTGATCTATACATTTAAGAAATGCATTAAACCAAAGATGGATATTGTGTGCTTCACTTATAGTGGTATTATCTTAAATGTAATCCTTGACTCCTTGTTGAACTAGATCTGTAAAGTAGGTTTCAGACAGTGCTGCCAGAATGTAATCCAGCTACTAAAACTGAGGAAGGAAATATCTTGTGTTATCACCCGACAAAAACTGGTTTGATCTCTTGTTTCCCAAAAGAGGCACAGAAAATAAAAAGGCAGAGAA